TGACCTCAGTGGAAATTATAGGTATGCAAGAGATGTGAGACAGAGAGCATGTCATCCCAGGACTCAGGAGCCTGCAGCAGGAGGCTCATCACATATTCAAGGCATCTTAGGCTACACAGTAGTTCAAGGCCAACCTGAACTACACAGTGAAACCCTGTCTCAAAAAACAAAACAGAGGCTGGGGATAAAGCTCAGTAGCACAAGCTCCTGCTTGGCAAGCACAATGTCCTGAGTTCCATTTCCAGTACCAAAGCAAAACAAAATAAAAGCAGTGACACAGAGTAAGTTCAGCTCATTTAATTGCTGTCATTAGCAAGTGGCATTATACTATTTTATTATTCTCTTTTTGCTGTTTTTGGTGGGGTTTTTTTGTATTTTTTTAGGGAAGGGTCTACAGGGTGTTCAAGGTCTCACTACTAGATCGGACTCGTAGTGATCCGCCTGTTTACAGCCTCCCAAGAGCTGGGATTACAGGCATGCGCCACCATGCCCAGTCTCAATTGCCAACTCAGCATGCCCTTAAGGCAGGGCTGGCATGGCAGGCCTGGGTATTGAACCCCCAGCCCCTGCACCTGCTTGCGGGTGTATTAATCTGCTGAGCTATTTGGCCAGCCCTCTTTTCACTATTATTAGCTTTCATAAAACTCAGCTTTTCCCATGTACTAGTTGCTGCTTTGCATGATATGAAATGAGGAAATTAATGTTTTCATTTTATTTATTGAAATTTATACCCAACTCATTCCATTAAGTTAGCTATAACAAGCGTTTTTAAGGAAAATACTCCTGGTAACCTCATGTTTTCCTGTATTAGTCAGAGATTTCCAGAGAAACACACACACACACACACACACACACACACACACACGAGGATAGTTTAAGAAATGACTCATGAGATTGTGAAGAATCACATTTAATTTAAAGGACCCCATAAAGCTTGGAGCTCGAGTGGCTCTATGAGAACTATGCCAATTGCTTCTGAGAGCAGTGTTCCCAGTGGCTCAGTTACCTTCATCAGTCCTGCCTCCTACAGGCCCCATCAAAGGCCCAGCCTCCAACCCATGAACCCTCGGACAGGACACTCACATTATATCCAGGCCACAGCACCCTCCAGGACACAGGTGGCTCTCAGCCAGTCAACTAATGGACCTAACTGGAAGAGACCTCCACAGTACCCTCTGGACCTTCAAACGAGTGCGCCATGCCTAGCCAAGTAGACAGAGAGAATGAACCATTACACTTCCCTTTTGACCCCATCACCTCCCACCTAGGGCAGCACCTCACCTTCTAGTTGCTGTCTTTCCACTTCCTGGGGACTTGTATCTCCATCCCCTGGTATATCTCCCACTCCTGTGTTTATCCATCTTTTCACTTTAGATCTGCATTGTTCAACACAGTAGCTACCAGCTCTGTGTAACCTCTTAAGTTTAAATTTGAATTATTAAAGTTAATTAAATTAAAAATTCAGTTTCTCAGTTGCAATATCACATTCAATTGCTCAGTATTTGTGTCTGGTGGCTATCATATTGGGTAGTACACACTGAAACATTTCCCTCATTGCAAAAAAGTTTATTGGATACATCTGTTCTAGATGGTTCTACACAGTGTCCTGGCTTTCATTATTTACACCTCTTTCCTCAGATATTCACACTTAATCTTCCTGTTCTAGATTTGCAGTCTCTCTTACCATCTGAATAGGCATATGAATCCTCACTGAGAGTTTTGTGGAAACACAGTTTGATGTAGCTGTATACTACTAACACAAGCATAAATACTCAATAGTGGAAGGGGTTACATAAGCAGATACGATAGCACAGCCTCCCCATCTATCTCCTATGATTGATTCCTCTCTACTTCCAAAGCTTAGGATACAAAGGCTACTACTGCTAGACAGTGATTACAAATTAGATATTTTCTAATGCTCATATCTATTATGAGTTGGATTATGTCTTCTCTAACATACACACTTTGAAGTCCTAACACCCAGTACCTCATAATGCAACCTTATTTGGAAATAGAGGTATTGTAGATGTGATTAGTTAAAATAAGGTGATACAGGAAGAGGATGGGTCCTAATCCCATAGGATTGGTACTTTCCTATTAATCAGTGTTTTTTGTTTTGTTTTGTCTTGTTTTGATTTTTTTTTTTTTTTTTTTGCGGAACCGGGGATTGAACTCAGGCCTTTGCGCTTGCCAGGCAAGCGCTTATTCTACTGAGCCATCTCCCCGGCCCCATATTAATCAGTATTGAAGCTGTCTCATTGATATTTGTTTCTCAATAAAATTAAAAAAGAAAGGATTGGTACTTTTATAAAAAGGAGACATTTGGGGACACACACAGGGAGAACACTATAGAGTGGCAATGCGGAGGCTAGGGTGATATGTCTACAACCAAGGAACACCAAAGGCCGCATGTAAACTACCAGCAGCAAAGAGCAGCATGGATTATGTTCTTCCTCATCTCTCTTAGAGAGAATCAACTCTGCCAATGCCTTGATCTTGACCTAGCTTCCAGAATCATAACACACAAAAAAAAAATCCTCTTATTTAAGCCACCCAGAGAATGGCACTTTGTATAGCAGTCCTGACAAATTAATACAATATCCAATCTGTTAGTTGATGAGCTAACCCTACCTGATTAAGTAAAAAATAAATAAAATAAATTGCATGGTGTTTACATTTAACATTTTTTACATGTTCACTCTTAAACCTGACTTGTGGGCTGAGACAGTGGCTTTCCTTGCCCTTTGCCTAATAGGACTATTAGGAACCTATACTCTGAATTAAGATCATGAATATTACATAGAAATATTACACTAAAAGTAGAGCTGTTATAGAAATTGGCTCTGATAACATAGAAGAAATGAAGAAAAATATTAGAAGAGATTGCCCTAGAAAATTAACTATTCAAAGTGAGGAATTCTGAATTTATTAAGTCTGTCAACATTTAGAATGCATAATTTCAGAATAACTATCTAGAAATATTCCTTTTGTTTGCTGTGTGTTGTGGTTAATGAAAGGATCTTCCATCCAGATCCATCATGTTGTTAATGAAACAACTACCAAATGCAACTTTAATTGTTTTACATTATCTACTTATTATTGAATTATATTTAACTTTAGGCTTTCCTACAGTGTGCTAATAATTGGGTTGCTAAATGAGTGCTTCACCTGCTTATTCTGTGCTATTTCCTGAAAATTATTAGAAAATAGTTATATTAATTGTCTGGGGATTGTTTTCCCTTACAAACCCAATCTGTGGAGGTGAGGTTAACTAAAATATCCTAAAACTGTAATGTATTTTCTTTTGCCAGGTTTGTAGCATAATTTTGATTATACTAAAATCAATAAAAGAAAGTTCTGTACTGTACTTCAAAATCAATTGGTATAATGATTTGATAGGAAAACTATGTGAAAGTCACACTAGTGCTACCTTTAGGCCTGGCAAGAGACCCTGTCTTAGTCTTTATATATTAGAGGTGTATTCCGACCTTTCTCTAGCCACTCCTCAGCAGGGAAGGAGGCGCAGTGCCAGGACCTTGCCCATGAGAGCTCACACATACATACATACATACACACACACACACACACACACACACACCCTCCTAAAACATACAGAGAGTGGCCCAGACATGCCATGAGCACAGGGGCCCACACTGCTCGCTTTCTAAGCCCTCACAGAGCTCTTTCCTGGGTGACTCCTGCAGGGGACCTCAGTGGCATCCACCCTGTCTAGAGAGCAGGCTGAGGCAGGCCTGTGGGCAGAGCTAAGACTGGTGGGCTGGGAGCAGGAATGGCACACATACCGTGTCATGAGTGAGGTCCTGTTCACACAGGACACACTGTGCGAGGACAAGGAAAGGCGCCCACCCTGGGTTTCCAGGTTCTTCGGAAGGTGCATTGGCCAAGATAAGAGCGGAGAACCCATTTCCTTAGTTTGTGATCTCAATTTGTACATTTAGCATTGAGGCAAATGGCACCTGGGATTCTATTTGGGGCCTGGCTCTAGACCTGGCAAGGTGAAGGAAGGCTAAGGGATCATAATTTTATATTCTCTATGGTTCCATTCCTCCTGCTAAGGATCCTCAGATTACTAGCTTAAATCACACCTTGCACATAAGATGAGTGTAACGAACGGCTGAGAAAAGAAACCAAAAGACCTGAAGAAGCGAAGGGACTGAAGCGCAGGTTTGGGGCATGTGTTCTATGTGTTCCGTGTTCTGGTGAGCTTTCGTAAAGCAGCTTCTTGGGGCTGGGGAGATGGCTCAGTGGAATAAGCCCCAGGGCCTGAGTTCAATCCTCGATTCCGCAAAAAAAAAAAAAAAAAAAAAAAAAAAAACACCAAAACGCTGTCCCTTTGAGGGATCAGGCCTTGCAGGGCGACCCGCACGTGGAGCAGGGGTAGCTGCAGGAACCCAGGAATGATGCCTGGGAGGTCCTCGAAGGCCTGGTAGACGCCTCTCACCCCACTGGACCATTAAACACCTCCTCTGGGGTTTGTGCACCTGCTCAGGGGTGTAAGCTGGGGAATACTCTAAGGTTGTCAGTGCTGGTGGGAAAATAAGCTTATCAGTACCTAGGACGAAAGGAAGGAAAAGGAGAAAAGAAGCAATTTTTCAAGAATGCACGGTGAGGGCTGGAGAGATGGCTCAGTAGAATAAGTGCTTGTCTGGCAAGCGCAAGGTCCTGAGTTCAATCGAAAAACTGACGCGGCTCGTGCGAGCTCTTAAAGTTTAGCGAAAAGGCAGGCACAGCGCAGGGGCAGGGAGAGCTTCGAACCGGGAGAGAGGCCGGGCCCCCCACGACCTCGCCCCACCCACCCTGTCCCGGCTTCCGGCCCAGCAAACATCTTTGCCACGCCCCTGCACAGTGTCCCGCGGTGCCGCCAGGCTGATTTTTCCATCCCTCCGCCGCAGCTGGCCACGCCCCCGACGGCGCCCCGCCCCGCCCCAGCCGGAGGCCGCGTGGGTGTTTACCGAGGTGCATGCTGGGACAGTCTCCGCGGCAACCGGGGCCCACCAGCGTCCCTGAGGCCGGGCGCTCCGGCTCGTACCTAGGCGGCAATATGCGCCGGGCCCCCGCCGTGAGCGCGCTCCTGCCAAGCCCAGAGTACTACGAGAGAATAGAGCGCCTCCAGCAAGGGCTGCGCGACAGGTACGCCGCCGGGGGTGGGACAGGGCGGAGCGGGCGCGGCGCGGTACCTCGTTCCCACCCCGCTGTGCGCCAGCCGGGCCGACCTGGATGCTCCTACCGAGCCTGTGGCTTCCCGCGACCTCGGGGTTGAGGATGACGCGGAGGGGCTGGGACTGCGGCGATCAAAGCCGCGTCCCAGAATTCGCCCGGACGCGAGAGTGGGAGTTCTGCCTGTCACTCAACATCATCAAGTCCTCCGACTTTCTCAGGTCCCCTGTTCACGCCCCCTCCTCCTCTCTTCTGATTGTCGTCCCACCTGGATAGCTGTTCTGCATCCAGATGACAGGTGCAGGAGCTCAGGTGCGAGTGTGTGTGTGTGTGTGTGTGTGTGAGAGAGAGAGAGAGAGAGAGAGAGAGAGAGAGAGAGAGAGAGAGAGGCGAGCCCCACTCGAATGCAGCCGGCGTGGTGGTTTGTTTGGATGGTATTTTCCAGCCAATGAGGTTCAGCTTCCGTAGAGTTCATGATGCCTTTGATTAACTCATGAAAGATGGGGCCCTGAAAACAGCTAGATCTAAAAGTGCCTAAAGAGAAAGAATTAGAAAGCAATTGACTATAAACAATCACATGAAAGGTAAGTTGTTGGAACTCACGTTTAGCTGCCGAATTAATTGGAGTTAGACATCTCATTAGGTGACAAGAAAGGAAATAGATTTTTGGATCTCTTGATAAAGGAAACATTTAATGAGCGTAACAAGTTACAAAATCATTCGTTTGAACGGGAGAGCTGTCTGACAATTCCAAAATGATAACAATACAGTAATTACGAATAAGGTAAAAGGCAGAAGTGATTTTGAAGAGGAATTGCATTCATCTTATGGTAGATTTAATTTTTGACAGTTATTTGTAGAGCATCTGCAACAGTCCTCCTTAATTGTCTGTACCATTTTTTATCTTCTTTTCCACATCCTGTTTTCTTCCTGACATACTGCCACTCACCTACCCCCAGGGACCTCTTCATCTCCAACTTGAGAAAAAAAAAAAAAAAAATCATTCCCTGCAGAGCCTTCCCACTCCCTAACTTTCTCAAAGCACTCTCTGTGGGGGTTAAGGTGCCTGGCTCTTTGCCTAGACTGAGAATTCTAGGAGACTACGAACCAAACCTAGCTCAGTCTTTAGCTTGTAATAGAATACTGTTGGTGGAGCAGGTGCTTGGTAAATATTTGTTGAATTTATGGAAGAAATCCCAAAGTCAACCAGCTAGTGTCTAGGAGCTCTGACTGTCTTATGTAGAGTACTGCGGGCACATACTGGCACTGAATAATAACCATTTTACAGTCCACCAGGAAAAGTGGACCTAATGATATTTCAGAATAATTAAAGAATAAGACATTGCTGTCCGGGGATTGAACTCAGGCCCTTGTGTTTGCCAGGCAAGTGCTTATTCTACTGAGCCATCTCTCTGGCCCTATTGTCTGTTTTGTTTGAAGAGTGGCTTAGCAAACCTAGGCTTTTGGTTATTGTGTCTCTTAGCTGAAGGCCTGATCTTAAAATGTTACTGACTTAAGTGGTATTCTTTTTAAACTAGGTTAATTGAGTTATTTTTGCTTCCTGAGGTAGGAACACCTGGCTCTTTATAGTCCTTATGGTACAATAACTATGTAATCATTACCCACTTTATATTTAACACTTACTGCTTCAATTATAAAGCAAAGGGGAGGCTGTTGAAATCATGTAAGAAATTCGAATTAAATTTTATGGTCTATTCGTGCTTCTGCATTTGGAGATTTGTTTTATTTTTAAGTCAATACAAATCTGTTGCTGTGTATATACATTTTTCATTTTAAGAATCCATAACTAATTAATGCATAGTACACACAAAATAGAGGCAAATAACTTTTAAATAGAGGTAAAGCTGAGTAAAAATGTGGAAACCTGGATTCTAATCCATGGCCAGTTGAGAGGCCTTGATCAGATCATTTTGGCCTTTCTGAACCATGCTTCTGCTCCAGAAATGGAGGGTCTTAACTGATATGTAAAGTAAGATACGGGTTTCTTTTTCTTATGAGAGTAATAGGCCTTATATTTTTTTTAAAAAAATGAAAGCTATAAAGTTGCAAAGCAATGCATAAATGACACGATTGTATCTTGTTTGAATGTCTTGTTTGATTTTTTTAGTAAAAAAAATTTAGGAGACCATTGTCTCCTAAAATTCCAGTTATTTCAAAGATTGCAATCTGCATAGTAAGTCAAAAGGGTTTGTCAATCCAGAAACGCTTGGGGAATGGAAAGTTTAAAAAACAAAACTAAAAAATAAAAAATAAACAAAATAAATACTTGCCCACCCTTACTTAGCCCTTCTAGAGTAAATCATTGAAATACTAGCTGGTCTAATTAATAACTATGCCCTTGTAACTGTCATGTTTTGAGCTCAGGTCATTTTAGCTGTATTCTCATATAGATGTAATTTTATAGTCTGAATGTTTTCCTGTGGGTGTACAGTGCTTTTTCTGCATTGTGCTGAGTGTCAACAATTGAATCTTGAATTTAATGGAGTGGCTGGTAGTGTGTATAGTGCCCACAAGCATGGTAGAAGCATGTAAGTGGAATTGGATTTTAGAATGATCGTATATAAAAACATCTCTTCTAAAGGCCTGGATTTTTTCAATGTCAGTGTTGATTCAAGGTGAGATATCATAATAGTTTAGAAATTGACACCAGGATATTGGTTGAGTAAAGCCAAGGATAGTGGAGAATCGTAATATTGAGGGGGAAAAACCCCAGAATAATAAATGGCTTAAAAGGAGAACACTCAGCCTTCTCAGGAGCACCCGGCTGTGTCAGATTTGCCGTGGTCCTGATAAAGGAGTGCATACGACTGAAAACACAGCCGGTGGAAGGATCTGCGGAGTGTGTATAACAGGTTCTGAAGTGGAGATGCAGTGTGTGTGCAGGAGGAGGCGATTCTTCAGGAAGCCTTCTTCTGCCTTTTTCACTGGGGTAAATAGCAGGTTTTAAGACTTACATTTGCAGTAGGTTAAAAATCTTAGCAGAGTGCTGCAGTGTGGATGAAGGGGTTAGAAAGTGGGCCAGTAGTAGAAGTGACAAGATGAATGCCACTTGCCTGGAGTAGAGGGCCACAAGTTTTTGGTGAAGTAGGTGGTCTTTATGGAGAGAAGATGTGATCTTTGTTCCTGTTCTGTCTACATGGATTTCCAAAAGACTTAGATCCTTCTTCAGAAAGTATCATAGATTAATTTTAAAAAATCATTTCAAAAGTAAGTTTAAGTTTTAGAAAAGTAATAAGTGTGGGACACAGACCTCCAGTATTTTTCTTACTGAGATTCCTCAACTACTACTATTTTATTATATTTTCATTATTTTCTACTGACACCATTAGTCATTTCTGACACATTTGAGAATTATAGATAGAATACTCCATTACTTCTAGAATCTCTAGTGAATATTCCCATAAAACAAGTGTTATTGGGTAGTTCCTTTAGAAGTGGCTTGCCAATTAAAGGCAATCCAGGTCTTGCTGGCCACAAATGAAGAATTGAACAAGCGAAGCCAAAAGTGGTGCCAGAAGTATATTTGAAAATTGAGGAGTAAAGTAAGGGAGAAATTCGTTCTGCAGAGCATGCTAGGACTGTACAAGAGAGAAAGTGCAAAGTGAGCTACCCTGAAAGTCACAATAGTAACTCCTGGTGTCTTTGTCCTTCTGTGTCATCCACATCCCATGGGAACCCAGAAGTTCCACATAAAGGGTCCTGAGACCCCTATCTTGGCGCTATCCTGGGATCTTGAAATTGACAGGCCCTCCTTATTTCTCTAGCTGACTTCCATGCCTTACCTCCTCTCTCACAAGGATACACTCACACACGATCCCCTTCCACATGCGGAATAAGCAGGATACGTCTAGGTACACTAGTCTGCAGACCCTTGTCACATTTCCAGTTGTCCTAAAGGTCTCTTTTTCTTTCTGGCCCAAGGTCTCACCTTGGAACCCCAGTTATACTTTGTGTACCAGGTTTCTTCAGTTGTCCCCCCAGCCTGGAACAGTTTCTCAGGCTTGCATTTTCGTTCATGCTTTGGCAATCAGAGTTCAGTCCTTATTCTAGACAGTGACTGCAAGCTGGTCCATCTCTTGGTTTCTTCAGAGCAGACTCTAGTCACCCGTTCTTGGCAAGAGTGCTACAGAGACAAAGCAGTGTGTTGGTGCCCAGTGTGTTGTCTGTCTCTGTAGCTCAATGACAAGTTGCTCAGACTGCCCAGTCTTTATGAATGAAGCACCCAACTGAGTATAAAATCTTTTAAGGGAAAAATGACTGATAAAAATTCCTAATGTGGAAGCAGTTATACCATGTTTCCTTCATTTCTATTCTGAGTTCACTGGTTTTTTGTTTTGTTTTGTTTTGTTTTTTGTGGCCGGCTCAGCCTGCCCTGGCTGTGGGGCTGGTGAGGCAGGTGGTGTTGGGAATCGAACCGCAGTCCCTGCACACTTGCCTAAGCTTGCCTACGCAGGCACTTTAGACCACTGAGCTAACTCGCTGGCCCCTGAGTTCACTGTTATTAATGAGAAAATACATATCTGTGGGAAGCTATTGGTTAAAAATATGGTTTTATGATTTTTCCCCTTTTAACATAGGCATTCCCCAGATAAAAAATAGGTTGTTTCCCAAGCAAAGGCTCTATGTTTGATGTTCAATCTCATTTACCCATCAAAAGAAGTCTTGATAAATGGAAATTTCCATTTAATATTATGCTAAGGACAGAAACTGGTGACATAGTTAACATAAGTACTCAGAGTAATTTGGGGTATTTTTCCCCTCAGTACTGGGGATAGAACCCAGGACCTTAGCACAGGGCTACATCCCAGCCTTTCTTATTCTTTTGGGATAGGTTTCACTGAGTTGTCCAGGCTGGACTTGAACTTTTCTGGTTTGGTTTTTTTTTTTTTTTTTTTTTTTGTATTTGGTTGCTGCAGGGTCTCACTACACAGCCTAGACTCGTGGTGATCCCCCTGCTTTCAGCATTCTCAGCACTGGGATTACAGAGGTGTGCCATCATGCCTGGATTCTGGCAGGCTCATCCCGCCCTAGTGGCGGGGCTGGCATGGCACGTGATGCCCAGTATCAAACCAGTCCATGCACTTGCCTAAGCTTGCCTAAACAGATGCTTTAGTATGCTGAGATATCTCACCAGCCCTGGACTTGAACTTTTGATCCACCTGTTTCACCCTCCTAGATTGCTGGGATTACAGGTGTGCACCACTGTGCCCCAGTGGGATAATATCTTTTTTATGGAAAACTATGAAGGAAAGCTGAGAGAACAAAGAGTTCACAAAGAGGACTTTCTGCAGGAGGCCAGCTCATAATCACCTTCTGCCAGAGTCCTGGCCTTTGTCTCATGGCCTTTGTTTAGTGTTCTCTCAGAATGGCATGTCTTCTCTTATAGGTTTTGGTTAATGTTAACCTAGAACACAGTTGAGCTTCAGTGGGGTGAGCTTCTGCTGAGTGGTGGTGGCAGGTGGAGCCCTCCGTGTCTGTGTCTTCCTAGGACAGTGGCTTCCCAGGCATAGCTCTGCCTGCCCCAGCCCCTGGCTGCCTGGTTCCCTTTCTCCTACTTCTGACTGTTTCTCTTCATTCTGCCCAGTGTGGAGATCTCCAGGCTTTCAGCAGAACCTCAGCATCCACCTGAACATCACTGGTTGGCTGGTTACCCCCAGTTGCTAGTAGCAGACTAGGAGGGCAACACCACAGAATTATAAAGAGAGAGACTGGAGTGTTCCAAGACTTGATCTTCAGCAGATGAGAGGGAGAGGGAAGCCAGGTGTGCCCTCTGCCATTTGACTGTTCTCAGGCCACTGGCTGGGAGCAGAGCGAACTGCCAGTCTTCAATCCAGTGTGGCTCTGGAGGATCGTGGTGTACAGGGCCACTGCCTGAAGAGCACCAGCTTGAAAAAGCTGGCTCTATTTTACTAATTTATCTTGCTTTGCCTGTCTTCCCCCGAAAGCTCGCCTGCCTGAGGACAGGCCCATGATGGATTCTTCACTGTGTTGGTCTGCAGGCCCAAAACAGCATCAGGCTCATCCCAGATGCTCTCGAGGCGCCTGCTGAGTAGTGAACACGCATCCCAGCCTCTCTTGCTGCATTTCCCCTTCCTTAGAGAATCTTGGATTTTGCCTCCTATTGGAGTCTGTTTTATTTTTAGACTTCACTAGTGATGTTCTTATGTTTTTGTTTCAAACACATGTGGCATTTCTGTTTTTAGACCAGAGATGCTTTCTTACAGAGATTTGATTTCTTTTCAAAAATTTTATTTTATTGAAGAAAGGCAAAACAATTTTGTAACAATAATAGAACAGTAGTAATTAATGCATTGCATATTGTCATCTTCAAAGTAATTACTCAGTATAAGATATGGACATAAAAAATTTTCACATATGCCTTCTAGCATAAGCCTTCCTTTTCAATATACTAAAGAGACAGTAATAGTATGGCTACCTTGAATTTTTCTCCCCTTTCCCCCCTCGTTCCTTTTTCTTTTTCAGCAATTACTTCCATTTCACAATATCTGTTGTACATGCTAGACCTTATTTATACTTTCAGTTTCTCACACCAGGGAGACAACACAATGTTTACAGTGTTTACACATGTGAATCTAATTTATTTCATTTATGAATATGGTCTCCAGTTGTATCCATTTACCTATAAAAATCTTGTTTATCCTTCTTTATGGCTGAGTGGTATTTCATTGTGTAAAAATGCTACATCTTTTTTTTTAATCCATTCCTTGCTTGATGGACATTGGTTTGTTTGCATGATCTAGTTATTACAAATTGTGCTGCTATAAAAATGGATGCACATGTATCACTATGGTATGATGTTTTTATTCTTCTAGGAAGATACCCAGAAAGAGAATACCTGGGTTGAATGGGACTTCTAATCCTAGCTTTTTGAGGAATCCCCATACTTATTTCTACAATGGATGTACCAGTCTCCATTCCCACTAACAGTGGAGAAGGGTTCCTTTTTCTCCACAACCTCTACAGCATTTATTATTGGTTGATTTCTTGGTGATAGCTATTCTTTCTAGAGTGAAATGGAATCTCATGTTTGTTTTAATTTGCATCTCTTGAATGATAAATGATGTTAAACTTTTTTATATATTTGCCATTTGTGTTCCTTCATATGAGAAGTGTATTCACGTCAGATGCCCATTTTTGGATTAGACTTTTAAATTTAGGGGGATCTGAGTTTTTTTCAGTTCATTATATGTTCTAGATAGAAGTCCTTTGTCCCAGGGACAATTGACTAAAAATTTTTTCCCATTCTGTGGGTTGTCTTTTCACTCTATTTATGGTTTCTTTTGATGTGCAAAAGGTTTTTAATGAGATGAGATCCCAGTTGTTGATTTTTTGAAGTATTGCCCATGCAGTTTGATTTCTGTTTCTGCCTGCACCTATGTCTTCAGGATTTCTCCTCCTCCTCCTCCTCCTCCTCCTCCTCC